TGAAAGAAAGTGTCACTTGATAAAGTTTGATTAACGTTGTGGTTCTAATATTAGTAAAACAATAAAATAGAAATTGTTTATGCCAAGAGTTTAGTGCAAGATAAGAATAATTACAGAAATTAAAAAGAAATAGGTAACATGCAACGTAAGCAAAGTGAGGTTGGAATTAGTCTTTGTCTCTATTGGTGGACTCATCACTGTAACCAAACCAATTTATGGACCAATAAAATAATAAAATAAATCACCAAAATACAGCTGCATCACGGCAAAACTCCATTATTGCCACTGGTTTCAACCCCGCGTTATACCTCACCTACTTTTACTCCACAAAAAGCTATCCAATTCTATAGATTTCTTCGAAATACCTTCACCACATTTTCAAGTTTATTCATCTCCTTTCACTAGCTTCTTTAAGCCAGTACTGGTAGGGTTTTTAGGTGGAGCTTGTGTTGGGAATCATACTTATATATTGGTTATTTGTTGGAAAGGGTGAAAAGATGAGTATGTACGGGAGAGATCCTTGGGGAGGGCCGCTAGAGATCAATGCGGCGGACTCTGCCACCGATGACGACCGGAGTAGGAATTTACAGGACTATGACAGGGCGGCGCTGTCACGGCCGTTGGATGAGACTCAGCAAAGCTGGCTGCTGGGCCCTGGGGAGCAGAAGAAGAAGAAATATGTAGATCTGGGGTGTATTATTGTGAGCAGGAAAATTTTTGTTTGGACTGTGGGTACAATCTTGGCTGCGGGACTCTTGGCTGGATTCATTACTTTGATCGTCAAGACTGTGCCCAGGCACCACCACCACCCGCCACCCCCGGATAATTACACGGTGGCACTTCGCAAGGCGCTCATGTTCTTCAATGCCCAGCGCTGTAAGTGAACAGTAGCTTATAGTACTTTTTACTGTATACTCGTGTGATAACAATTTGTACAATTGGGTCATAGTTTTTCTAGATCTGATGAATTTTGTTATGAGGTTGATAGTGCATATATAAATGAATGATTTTATATTCTATCTATTAACAATTATCGGTAATTTTGGCTCTATCATATTGTGGGATTTTTTAGTTTTGTTCACATCTTCTGCTATAATTTTGAGTATATATGTAGCCAGGTGGTTTTGACAAAAGATGATGGGGACAAAAGTAGAATAGTAGATTCCAAATACCCGCAAGCTCATACTATGTTTAAAGTGTTTGTCCTTTTGGTTGAGAAATTATTGAATTGCAAGTGATCACTTCATTTTCTGAAGAGTATTATATGTTTGTTATTAACTGTGGGTTGCCTGGGATGATGGACTGATATAAGAGTAGACACTGCATTTGGCTTGAGGTCCACGGGTGGCGTTTGTTTGAAATTGAATTGCACTTTTAGATTTGTCTTACCTAATAGTTTAAGAATTCTTACACTAATGCCAAGGTTATAGTCAGGCTCCTTGGCTGTGGTGGACTTCACAATTTATTGCATGATTTGGGCATTTTATCTAATTTTTAGTAATGGACTTTTACAGCTGGAAAGCTTCCAAAGCACAACAATGTTTCGTGGAGGGGAAACTCTTGTTTAAATGATGGGAAGTCTGATAGTGCAACTATATTTAAGGACCTGGTTGGTGGCTATTATGATGCTGGAGATGCAATCAAGTTCAACTTCCCCCAATCTTTTGCCATGACTATGTTGAGTTGGAGCGTGATAGAATACAGTGCAAAGTATGAAGCTGCTGGGGAGCTTAGCCATGTTAAAGATATTATCAAGTGGGGGACGGATTACTTCCTCAAGTCTTTCAACTCCACTGCTGATTCCATAGATCAGCTAGTGATGCAGGTAAATACCATGGAATTGTTGATAATTTCATATTACATTGTCATATTACACGTTCCTAGTATTGGAAATTTAAAAAAGTGTGCTATGTTTTACACGTCTAATCTTGTGGTTTTTCCTTTAGCTCATTAATGTAGTTTGTCTTTTGGTATAAATTAAAAGGGGGACAACGTGTTTTACTCACTTCATATCTGACCACTTGGCTTCCGTTAGAAGTGGTAGTTTTACTCTCATAAGTTATCGTTTCCTGGCCTGGACCTTTATGTACATGCTCGTTAAAAGATATTTCTATGATTTTACTTGGTAGGTTGGAAAGGGTGGTACTCCGGATGATTCAGATCCGAATGATCACTACTGTTGGATGCGTCCAGAAGATATTGATTATGATAGGCCAGTTGCTATATGTCATTCTTGCTCGGATCTTGCTGCAGAGATGGCGGCTGCTTTGGCTTCAGCATCCATTGTTTTCAAGGATAACAAGGCCTACTCACAAAAGCTCGTCCATGGCGCCAAAACCCTCTTTAAATTCTCCAGGGATCAGCGTGGTAGATACAGTGCCGGAAGTAATGAAGCTTCAGTTTTCTACAACTCCACCAGCTACTGGGATGAGTTTGTGTGGGGTGCATCTTGGCTATACTATGCTACGGGAAATTCTTCCTACCTTCAGCTGGCTACAACTCCTGGTATTGCCAAGCACGCTGGTGCATTTTGGGGAGGCCCGTATTATGGTGTATTAAGTTGGGACAATAAACTTGCTGGAGCTCAAGTAAGTTTCACAAAAAATAAAATAAATAAATAAATAA